TGATTTTATTTTCTTAAGAAGCAAAGTCTTAAACTTGGAAAATCCTCAACTATATTTCTTCCCCTATTAGCTGGTTCATTTTCCTGGAATGCCCTGACATGGCCATCTCCAAGCTAACCTCACATAAACATTGAAGGAAGAAATTACAAAAACAGCTTAAATGTGTAAATTCTAATTTTTTTAAAGTTTTCAAATACATAAAGAGGCTATTAAATTGACTTTTATGGAAACGTGAAGCAGGAAACAAAGAATCAACGAGAGAACACTAGAATATGTGTTCAGGTTACATGATTCTGGCCCTGACTCTAAACCGCAGCGTGACTTTAAGGTTAAGTCACTTGGTCTTCCTGGTCCTTTGTTTCCTCACTAAAAAATAAAGTGACTGAATTTAACTTCTCTGGTCCTAATATTCTTAACTTACTCTGCGACTATAACAAGCCAAAAATTAAAAATGTTAGGTAAGCCCCAGCTGGTTGGGCTCAGTGGATAGAGCAATTGGCCTGTGGACTGAAGGGTCCCAGGTTCTATTCCGGTCAAGGGCACATGCCCAGGTTGGGAGCTTGATCCCCAGTAGGGGGCGTGCAGGAGGCAGCTGATCAATGATTCTCTCTCATCATTGATGTTTCTATCTCTCTCTCTCCCTCTGAAATAAAAAAATATATATTTTAAAAAATTAGGTTATATGAGGCTAAAAGAATGGAATTAGGCAAGTGAACTGAGTCATCATAAGTAGCAACAACGTAAAAGGGTTAGAGATGACCACTGCCTTCCCCAAGCTTCCCACAGTTATAAATACAAATTATAACCTGAATTTCAAAATCTCTTAGGTAGGTATTTATTCAGTTACAAATTAAATTCTATGATAGGTCATTGTAAACAGCAGACTATTACTTTTTCATTCTCAGATGTACACAATTATCCTCTACAGTGGTTCTCAACCTGTGGGTCGCGACCCCTTTGGGGGTCGAACGACCCTTTCACAGGAGTCGCCTAAGACCATCGGAAAACACATATATAATTACATATTGTTTTGTGATTAATCACTATGCTTTCATTATGTTCAATTTGTAACAATGAAATTGGGGGTCACCACAACATGAGGAACTGTATTAAAGGGTCGCGGCATTAGGAAGGTTGAGAACCACTGCTCTAAGGATTAATAAACAGTAAGACTACACTGAACTTTCATGCCAGTCGTGACAGGAGGAATTGGTCAAGGCTAACCTCTCCACTCTGAACAACTATAAAAATGGACAACATGTATAAAGGAATTGTTTTCAAAAACTGGACAACAGGATCGCAGTCCCGGGGAGAAGGGGAACACCTGAAATGAGCCCTACAATCGCATGGCTCTTAACCATGCAGGCTCTTTCCAGACGACAGCACATGGGGTGAAGCCCAAATGGAACACAGACGTCGCTGAGCTCAGGAGGCAGACGTGCAGCTTGGCCCTGCTGAGGTGGATGGCATTGAGCAGGGTGATGGGAAGAAGGCAGCCACCCACAGAAAGAGCTTCAGAAATCTATAAAGGGGTCTCTTTAAGCCTCTGGCTGAAAATGAGCTTGCATATGCAGACGGCAAGCTCTCCTGAGGTCTTGCAGAGAACAGGCATTGGGGAGCTATGGAGAAAAGGGTGATTCCAGAGGTCACCCGAAGCAGGCAGACAGAATTCTGACCAAAGGGTAGAGCAGTCACTGAATGCTCCAGTCATCAAATGGATCCTGAGAAAGGCCCGTCAAAAGCAGAACTGCGCTAGACACGTCTTAACATCACTGAACAATAGCCTTGAAAGGATTGATCTGGTCTGTTCGGAAATCATCTGTTTTCCCAAATAAAGCTCTGCAGTCTCCAAAGCATGCACTGTCAGCAGAGGTGCTAGCATGCCCATGGAGGCAAAATCTGGTTCTTGGGAGGATGGAGAATCTTACATTTTACACAGATGTGTGGTCCTCCAAAGGGCCACTGCACATGAGCAGACATAGACATGCAAACATACAGAATATCTGGTAGTAACATTTCATGGGGGAGGAGAAGGAAGGGAAATTATTTTTTAAAAGTCTAAAAATGTTCCTTAGAAGTGTAATGTAATAATGGAAAAAGATTTAGATGCACTGCTCTAAAGGAAAATGACAGCCCTAGCTGGTTTGGCTCAGTGGATAGAGCATCAGCCTGCGGACTGAAGAGTCCCAAGTTCGATTCTGCTCAAGGGCACATTCCTGGGTTGCGGGCTCGATCCCCAGTGTGGGGCATGCAGGAGACAGCTGATCAATGATTCTCTCTCATCACTGATGTTTCTATCTCTCTCCCCCTCTCCCTGCCTCTGTGAAATCAATAAAAATATTTTTTTTTTACAGGGGCATGTACCTGGGTTGCGGGCACATCTCCAGTAGGGGGTATGCAGGAGGCAGCTGATCGATGTTTCTCTCTCATCAATGTTTCTAGCTCTCTATCCCTACCCCTTCCTCTCTGTAAAAATCAGTGAAGTATATATTTAAATATATATATATATATATATATATATATATATATATATATTTTAGAAAAAGGAAAATGACAAAATCTACGCTTTAACAACACATGATCCACAATACTGAGCACAGGATAATCAAATTACTAGACATGTGAGGAAGCAATGGAACAGAATAGAAATCCTGGGAGTTGACCTAGATTTCATCCAGCAGGCAATGAAGACTGTGGACAGTGGGACATATTCAGATCAGTGTGTGAGAATTCTGAAACGCTGAAGAGGGTGGTTTAAGTGGGAGAGGAACAAAAGGAGGAGAGGCTACTACAGCATCCAGACTGAGGAACATGAAGGTTGCCAGCAGTGGAGGTGGGACAGGAGACAGCTAAGTGGCAGAATGGTTAATTCGCAATAACCAACTGGATGTGCAAGGTGATGGAAAAGGGAAAATCAAAACGAGAACTCGGAATTGACGAGTACTTGTCAAACTGAAGTGTTTATGTTGAATGGATTCTGGGAGAAGTATCCAGCAAATACTAAGAAATAGGCATCTCAGAGGTCTGAGTTAGAAATGCAGTGAGTAAGTGAGTGAGAAGCAGCCTGAAGAACCCAGGGAAGGCTAGGGCCATCTTAACTATTTTTAAGTGAACAGATCAACAGTGTTAAATGCATTCACATCATTGAGCAACCAATCTCTAAAAGTTTTTTTTTTGTAAAACTGAAACTCTATACCCATTAAGCAGTAACTGCCCATTTCCCCCCACAGTCTTGCTGACTTTTGCAACTTCCACATTCTTGGCTAATCCTCTGAATCATGGACGAACTTCTTGAGTGTCCTCATCACACCTTGGTGACATCACCCTGAGCCCAGAAGGGCATCCTGGGTGAGGGGTCAGGGTGGGGGAAACTGAGTCACTGGTCGTCCATGATTTCTTATTGCTCCTGCAGTACACTGGCAGTGTGTGCTTACTGATATGCTGGAAGGCCCGGGTTCTCACTGCACCAATCACAAAGGATTTCTGTCTGCAGCCGACGACACTCCTACCAAGGCTATGAACCTGTCCTCTACGGCCTTGAGGCCCAGCACTGATTTGGCTTACTTATCGGTGCAAGTCCTTCCAGCATCTGTTTCCAGAATAGGGAGGTTTCGTCCATGTTGAAGATTTGCTCTGGCAGGTCCTTTCCCTCCACAGTCAGCTTAGCTAGAGTTGCCAACAATCCTTCAGCTGCCTTCTCACCAGCACCTGCTGACTCAGCACTCACTTTCACGTTACGTAATGAGTAACAGCTCTTGAACTGTGTAAACCGCCCAGAGTAGCAGTAAACTCATCATCACAGCCAGGTCCAGCCTCATCATTCAACACTGCAAACAAACTTTCCGCTTTGGCCGTGACGGTCCCGATGCTGAGAGGGACAAGCTGCTGTCTGGTCCTCCCTCCAGGGCATTAGAAGTTTCCCCATGTCTGACACAGGCCCTTCTCTAATTTTGGTTAAGTCTCATTGCCTTCAATGAAGCAGATGCTTTAATAGCTCCTGTCACTTTGTTCTGTTCTGAGAGATCGTAGCACTGGTGGCACTGGGAATGCCTGACGAGAGCAATAGCCACCACTGATTTTCTACCTTCATAGTCCTTACTCACTTTAATTTTGACTTCAATCAGTCCACAGGGCCTCTTACTGGCAACATTAGCAATGGGTTTTGTATGCTTAGGGGCACGATGAATGAAACAACATGAGATTAAATCAAGCACAAGAGAAAATGATGTAACCAGGAGATATGCAGTAAACATGGGATGTATGAGGCTGTTTCGAACATAGCACAGCAGTTTCACAGCAACCTTTTTTTTTAATGTAAGTACAAAAAGTACGCTCTAAAATTATAATAAAAAGTACACTATAGTATATGCCTAAACCCGTAACATAGTCAGTTGTCATTATCAAGCATTACGGACCGTAACTTATATGCAATATACTTTTATATGACTGACAGTGCAGTACATTTTTAAAAATATCACCACAAACACGAGAGCAAGGTATTGAATGGGGACATTATGACACCATTATTACAACAGCATTAGGCAATAGAATATTTTCAGCTTGATTACAATCTTATGGGACCACCATTGTATATGACTAAACATCATTAGGCGACACGTGATTATATAATTTCAGGACATTTATGAGTCTCTCAAGTCTATCTGTGAATATTGCAAACTTTGTTAGGCCTGAAATTTGGTTTCAAAATTCTAATAAATGGTAAATACCAGGAAATACTATCCAAACTCAAAGGACCACCTAGTTTGGATATGGAGTCATGAATCCAGTATCCCTTGAATTCCATCATTCGCTAGCTCTGTGAACATTTTTAGGTCCAGGGTCACAAACAATGAAAGGCATTGCTTGTCTTTTGCACAACCTCCTGAAGACGACACACTTAATGCTGAGTGAGGCGAGGCATGTGGAGGAAATGTCAGAAGACATAAATAAAAATTCAGTATAAAGATCAGGAAATATGACAAGGATGGGATTTGACTCACAAAATCTGTTTCAAGTTTTCCCATTTCTTGCTTGTAGCTTCTCATTCTGTTGCTGTACATTCCTCGACTTTGGGGTGGTATCTCTCGGACTTCCAAATCCATCTGCTCAAGCTGACAGGGTGAGAGCAAAACGTCATTGAAACCATATGCTTACTCTTTATTTGACCAGATGTTTAGAGCGGAAAGGATTTCATTTCAATTCTTCACTTTACAGTTGAGGAACCAGGTCCAGGGAGTTACCCGCCTGGGATCAAATAATATTGGGACTACGTTTGTGCTTAATTTTTGTTTAGGTGAACAAATAGTTAGAGTGCTTGCCAAGTGAGACATAGAGCACCAAAGTACTTACTTTCTCAGGAATTTCTATTAAAACATGCATTAATCCAAACATCCTTAATAATAATGATTTTAATATGCTTGAAGTATCCCATCATTCAGTCCAACCTGGTCAGGTGTTTTGACCCCAAACCACCAGGACTATGGGAAATAAACCAAACCATTATTTCCAACCTTAAGCACACAGTGTCTGCCCAGCCTCAGTCATTTGGTAAAAATTCTTCCAGAAAGTCTTTTCTGATTAGGAAAATCACATACCAACCAACATGTGATCTCAACCTGCAGCTTCACTTCTTACACTTTATTACCATGTTGATTTGGAGTTAAATGGATACAGTAAAATGTTAAATTATACCAAGCTCACTGAAATCACAGCAGGGCACTTTTTAACAACCTGTCATCATATAACACTTCAAATACAACACATGAGCATCTAATGGGAGGCAGTACAGAAATATTATGATGGCTAAGAAGACAGGCTTTTAAGTCAGATGCCTGCACTCACACTCATTTAGGACCACAACGCAGTAACAAGTTAAATCATACTTGCAATATCTGGCTTTTAAAACAAAAAAGTGGGATACAATACTTTTTTCCCCCTGTGAATGTATTTATATTAAAAAAAAATAGTGGATGACTTAGAGCGCTGGGTTTAGCATATACGAGTATAGATACAAATTCTTATTCTACCACTTACTGGATGTGGACCTCAGACCAGCTACTTAATCTTTCTAAGCCTCAGTATTCCCATCTATAAAATGGGGGGAGGTGCGTAATTACATTGTTGAAAATCACTCCTCCATGGTTTTCTCAGGCTCCTGTAAGTCTTGCTGGGCATGCCAAGAATGCAAGGCCCTAACCACTCTTTTCCCTGGACATTTCTCAAGGTAGTATTTGCAGGGAGCAATGCTGGGAGAGGAACTTCTGGGACAGAGGGAAGGCTTGCTTACAGGCTGCTGTAAAGCAGTATGCTTCCCAGGCTCCATGTTCCTCGCCTGTAAGACATCCTATTGTATGTGTGGGCATACATCTGGGCCACCTCTGCCACTCCTGTGGGAATTGGGCTCAGGGAACTCATACAAGGATGCTCAAACTCTGGCAGCTGCTTTCGCTGTGAGTGATAAAAGTCTTTTGTCTCTGACCTCAGAACCTAATGTCTTCTATTAGCATCCATGAAATTGTGGCAAGCTCGCTTATTAGTGAGCAAGTAGGAAAAAATCTCAGATCCTTAACAGTTTTTGACAAATAGCACTTGTCTCCTGGAGTTTTTATAAAAATTAATATTATTAATATTATAAAACAAGTAATATGCTTATCCCAGTGTCTGGTACCCAGTATGCCTTTAACAAGCATTGGCTATTGACGCTATTATAAAATGTATTATTAAGGAATAAAAATTAGAGCTGGATATTTAATGAATCACCTTTATTAAGAAAAACAAAATCCCAAGGAACTATTAAATTCTCTTCAATTTGAAAACGAATGAATTTTAAATTATAAAATGCTAATTAGTCATTTTACATTTCTGCAATAAAACAGGCTAGTGAAAGGCATCAGCTTAAATGACTCTGGTCGTGTGTTAAAATATATTACCGAGTCTGTACATACCAGTTCTTTTGCTTCTTCAAGCTGTTTCTCCACATTTGCAACCATCTGTTTCTTCTCATCTGAAACAGACAATAATATCAGAAAATTGCTAAGAAGATATATAAATTTAATATTTAAAAACTTCTATTTTTCTATACCTTTTTCCTTTCTGATCAATCAAATTGAGAATTACCATACCAGGCAACTGGCCATATCATTCTTTGGTGGGTTAGAAACCACTCTAAAGCCACTAATTCTAGGCTATCTAGAAATACATAATCTTATGGAGTACCTAGTGATTAAGGGATGCCATAACAGTTTAAAAAGAAACCAAAAATTATTTTGTTCTTTAGAAGAGACTGTGTCAACAATAGCAGTTGTAGTGGTGGCATGAAGAATCTGCAAACTCTTCACTATAATGAATTGGGAATAACTGATTTACAGATACAAGTTAAAAGTCACAGGCAAAAGCAATTCCTAAAACTGGACAAAATCTTTTTTTTTAAATATATGTTATTGATTTTTTTACAGAGAAGAAGGAAGAGGGATAGAGAGTTAGAAACATCGATGAGAGAGAAACATCGATCAGCTGCCTTCTGCACACCCCCCACTGGGGATGTGCCCGCAACCAAGGTACATGCCCTTGACCGGAATTGAACCTGGGACCCTTCAGTCCGCAGGCCGACGCTCTATCCACTGAGCCAAACCGGTTACCGCTGGACAAAATCTTAACAATCCCCAGTGTGGGGTGTGCAGGAGGCAGCCTATCAATGATTCTCTCTCAGCATTGATGTTTCTATCTTTCTGTCCCTCTCCCTCTGAAATCAATAAAACAAACAAACAAAGATTATATAAATAATTAAAAATAAAATAAAACTGTACTTCCGTTAACACTAAAATTGGGTGTAATGGAGGAAATACTTGAAGTTAGGGCTACTGATTCCAAACCCAAAGTCACTAACTACTCACTGATTATGGAATATTGGGTAAGAACAGTCTGTACTCTCAAAAATGGAGATGAAAAATGCCCACTGCATTATCTTTAGTTTAAACAAGCTGATACAAGTGAAATTACTTTTAAACTGTGAAGTGCTAAGTCTCTGTATGTGGTTTATTCAAACTCTACCAAAACCAAGTTGTAACGGAACTGGAATCCCCTTTTTCGGGAGAGACACATCCTGGCAGGTATTTTCAGAAAATGCTCCCCACCCCACCCCCATTCCAAACCATTTTTTCTGAGACTGCACTTACGTTTTGTGCTAACCAAATTTATTGAACATGTATCGTTTTTGTCTGCCTAGCACCCTTCTTTTCTCAGGCAATAACCCCCACTCTTTATAAAAAATATATATTTTATTGATTTTTTACAGAGAGGAAGGGAGAGAGATAGAGAGTTAGAAACATCGATGGGAGAGAAACATCGATCAACTGCCTCCTGCACACCTCCTACTGGGGATGTGCCTGCAACCAAGGTACATGCCCTTGACCGGAATCGAACCTGGGACCTTTTAGTCTGCAGGCTGACGCTCTATCCACTGAGCCAAACCGGCTAGGGCAACCTCCACGCTTTTGAGGCTCTCCTCCACCACACAGGTCAGTGGGAGATGCTGTCTCTTCCTATGACCCTGCCTCTTCAGTCACAGTGACTTGGCAAACGATGGGCTCCTCATCCCAGCTAGACCAATCCTAGTAGCTCAATCCAAGCTGACCAAGCAAAGTGCAGGAGCCGTGGAGAAGTCTTTTCCTCTCCCTTGGTAGAGTTACGAGAACAGGCGTTTAGAAGCTGTTAAAAAGCAAGCGTCAGTGGTTGAAAATGCGTCAGTGGTTGAAAATGAAGCCTACCTTTAGAAAGAAACAAAGCTGAGAGGTAGAGCGATAGGACAGAGGGGACAGACAGACACAAATGGATTAGACAGAGTTAGTTAATTAGTTTCTGGTTCCAGATAATTCTGAAATAGATTTTGCTTGACTTTTCACGGTTAAGTTCCTTGAACAAACAAGTTTCTTTTTCTTTATTTAAAGTTGAGATTCTGTGACAAGGAACCCGATGATTACTGACTGACTCATACAACAGACTAGAAAAGTTGTGAAGCTTGAGATGGGTATAACACCTACTAGCTAAACAGCCCTTCAGAAGGACAGCCAACACCAAGTGGGGAGAGAGTAGCTGTCACATGGGTTTTATGCGTGCACTCCAGCCCATGCCATTGACTTCCAGGACTAACGGACACCAGTATTTCTCATTAACAATGGAAAACAAAACAAGCAGCCCCCCCTCGACCTCTAGTCTCCTTTGCTACTAACATCTCTCTCCTTCCAGCTACATTCACATTTCCCTCCCTCCTCCCCCACTCCTCCCTGTAATCCCACCCACACCCCACCATTCTACTGTGATGACTCTCACAAGACTAATGACCTTTGTTTGCCCAAACTAATGGACATTCCTTGGTTCTATTTTTATTTAATCTTGTGGCATCTGCCATTATGCTCCTCCCATCCTGCCACTTTCTCCTCTCCTGGCCTCAGCGACACCCTGACTCTGTGACTCTCCTGAACACTCACTTCTATCTCTGCGTCCTCTGCTGGGCACCCTTTCCTCAGCCCATCCTCTAACCACCGGTGTTCCTCAGAGTCTAGCCCTTGCTTTCCCCCCACCCCCCCACCCCATGACTATCATCTATGCCCTTGGCAATTTCATCTGCTCCCATTTATTTACTATCTCATTATCTATTTGTGATGCTAACTTCATCATTAATCCTGATATATTTGCAGGACTCCACACCTTTAATGTCAATGCCTATGCCCACCTCCACTGTGATTACCTGGCAAATTGCTATTCAACACTCTATTCAGAAATCAGTACCTCTAGGAAGCCTTTCCTAACCCAACAAAGTTAACCACTTTCAGTTACATAAAACACCTAAACTTTTACCTAATCTTAGTGATTTCTCTCTCACCTCTACCGGTCTGATTTACCTTCTACCTTAGAGGCTCTCGGAAGACAGGAACTGTGTCTTAATCATCTTTATAGTCCTACAATCCAGCACTGAGTCTGGCATATAATCAGTTCTTGAAAAATATTAAATTCAATAACTAATGTAGGCCAGCCCGGCCAGTGTGGGTCAGTGGTTGAGGGTCGACCTATGAACCAGGAGGTCACAGTTTGACTCTTGGTCGATTCCCACTGTGGGGTGTGCAGGAGGCAGCCGATTGATGATTCTCTCTCATCAATGATGCTTCTATCTCTCTTGTCCTCTCCCTTCCTATCAGAAATCAATAAAAACATATTTAACCATTTGTACACCATAAGCATCTATAGATGCAAGCAGCGGAAATTTTTAAATTAAATTCAAAATATTGTGGCAGTTAACTGGTTAAAAAAAATTATGGCTTCTTCCATACATAGCTTATGTCTGATCTCCAAAAGACTCCAGGGCTTAGCATAACTAATCAGCTAGACTTGAGCATCTCCTCCCGGAAGGGACACTGTCTGGCCCCACCACTCCACTGACTCCCTCCTTAATAGCCAGTTAAAACCCAATTCCAATTTCATATCCTAAAGCCCCTGAGCAGTCGTCTCCTTTCAAGTGTAGGTGTTCATCCAGAAAGATTCATCTCACTCTAGTCTAGGCACAGACAGGAAGCAAGAATTGAGGCCCAAGGTTCCTTTAAAAGTTCAATTAATATAACAAAGTCTGGGGAGCTGAGTCCTGCCAGCTTTTGCCTTCAGCAGTAGCAATAACATCCATCACTAATGGCTAATTCAGGTATTTTCTACAAAGGAAAAAATGTGCTAGTATGTCACATGTTTTATTTCATCTGATTTTTACAACATTGTAACTTTGAAACTAATACCCCTTTCTTCCCCCGTTTTACAGATGGAGGAAGCAGGCTTAGAAAGACCAAGCAATTTGCCCATTTGCCAATTTACATCTGGTCAGTAGCAGAACTGGGACTCTAAACAGATCTGATGCCATGTGTGACTCTTAACCAATTTGCCATAATACCTTTCTTGGTCTTTCTGATTTACAGCCACAAAGTGAATGGTGAGGTATGCAACTAACTGCATGAGAACATTTTATTAGGTCCTTCAGGCCTGTTGTAATGGAACCTCCACACCTATATAGGGTCCCTCTAACTTAGAATTCATCACCAGAGGGAAAAGAACTCTACAGTTAGTATTAGTAATGGTTTCCACTCATCCATTTCCCTGGCTTTACCACAGAACACTAATCATTAAAATCAAGTTTCAAATACAGCGTCATAGAGCATTGCCTAAGAACGGACTGATCCATCTCGTTAGTCTAATTTATAAAGTTAGTTAAGATTCAAACACTTTAGTGTAAGAGCAAAGTCTTTTTATTGTTGAAAACATATCACAGAGCAATCAAATTTCTGTTTTAAAATAAAGTTTTAAAATATTTAGTCTTTTCTATTCTCTTTGGAAGTAACACGTTAATACATTGTACATGCACAGCAGAGTGGATTTAATTGCCACCAGTCCTACTCACTCGACTTCAATTTAAATACTAAGTTAATATGTTGAAGAATGAACTGCTTTGACCAAAAAGTTTGCTCTAACTTTTAACCTTCTTAACTGAAGTAAATTATAGTTCCTCTCCTCTGGGTCAACCACCAATGATGCCCAGAGAAAGAGATTATAGTTACTTTTAATCATATTGTTTTTCCATATTAATTTCAGTTAGTTCATAGACATACATCTGAAATTCATTACTACCTAGATATACTTTCATTTTTTCTATTTATCAATTAGAAACAGATTATGAAGTGAGCAAGCACAAGTAATTATTAAGAGGGAAACCACTGCATTTTTAGGAATAACTAGTATCAATTATTCAAGTCAGCAAGCATTCTTCCAGTGCCAGACATACCGTCTCCTTTCAATTCCAATATATCTGCCGAGTTTGGGCCTCACATTATTCGAGAGCTAAGGAGAGTCAAGGCTTTATTTTTAAGATACTTAATCCCAATGTTTCCTTCTGTGTGGTAAGAATGGTTACATTAAAATTTAAAGACAAGAAAAAATAAATTCTTGGAAATAATTTTTACAACTTTGAACTCAGGGATGACTTTATTACTTTATAACACAGCTTCCCAGTACAAAAGCAATTCTCCCAAACAACAACAACAACAACAAAGTGTTTCTACTGCTAAAACTATTACAATTTAAAATGAGCAAAAATCTAACTGAAACCACAAATCCTCACATTCTGAGGCTCTGGGACTGATGTCAAAGGAAGGAATCTCCAACAGCAAAGACAACAAAAATCAAGATGGTCTTGGGCAGTGGAGAAAAGCAGAACTGAAGAGAAGAGGCGAGGTGATGTATCATGAAGTGGTGAGGCCATCAGCCACTTTCTCCACAAAAATCTCTGAGGCAGCAGAGCTCGGTAGTATATGCTACCTTGGGTCTCTCCTCTTGTTCCCTCACTTGGACTCAAAAACCTCTTTAGGACATCATCCATCTCCTGCAGAACTAACTGGGACTTCAGGAGATGAGTGGGGTATAAGTTCAGAGATCCTGGCTTCAAGCAAACATCCCTATTAATAGAAATAGGTGGGGGAAGAAAAACAAAGAAATAAAGGAAAATATTATTTATAAACACATAACTTTGGGGGGAGGGGAGGGAAGGGAAGAGGAATAACAACTTAGGTCCAGGGGAAATTATTGCTGGCCTCAAGGACTGACTAACAAGGTGAGACAGTGAGGTTGAGCACCAGTTCATGTATCAATGAACACGCCTTTTCCTACACTTTACACCCAGAGCTGAGGTAGGCCCAAGTCTAGCATCCTAATGATAGTTCAATTTCCCTAAACAACTAAGCCAAAAAGTAACAATCTTATCTGCAAACTACCACTTCAAATTAAATCTGTATTTAGAGAAAGATAAATCCTAAAACAATGTCTTACAAAAATCACAAAGTAGCCCGGCTGGGGTGGGTCAGTGGTTGAGCATTGACCTATGAACTAGAAGGTCACAACTGATTCCCTGTCAGAGCACATGCCCTGGTTGCAGGCTTGATGCCCAGTGTGGGCCGTGAAGGAGGCCGCTGATCAATGATTCTCTCTCATCATTGATATTTCTCTCTCTCTCTCCCTCTCTCTTCCTCTCTGAAATCAATTTTAAAAAATCACAAAATATCACATTTATATATTTGCTTATTCAAATATCTGATCTCAGCCCCTTCTAAATAAATGCCAATGAATCAAACATACTAGTAACTCCCACTTTCACACAGTTGACAGTCTAGCATAAAAGAAAGATGTGCTAAAAAAAAAAAAAACAACAACAAACACAACAACACAAAAATAAAAACACGTCTGGATGGAAATTGTGGAATTTTAAACGTGAGAGAAATTGTCCTGTACCAAGTTTTTCATAACATTGGCATATGGTCCCCCCAACCCCAAGAAGGACGAGAAATAATAAATGGAGTTGGGGCTACGAAAAATACAAAAGATAGTAGCAGCTAACACCGAGGAAAGACTTTCCATATGTGAAATAATTTCATCTTTCCAACAACCCTATGAAAGACCTACAATTCTCTCCATTTACCAAGAAGGAAAGTTGAAAGAGGTTAAGAAACTTGCCTAAATGTCAAAACTTCTAAGTAGCAGAGGTGGGATTAGGCACCATGGCTCTTAACCCTGTTTTGCTGCATATAATACTGCTGTCATCACTAATACAACAACGTCAGACCCCTCATCTGCGTACATTCATTCATTCATTTTTTAAAATATATTTTATTGATTTTTTACAGAGAGATAGGGAGAAGGATAAAGAGTTAGAAACATCGATGAGAGAGGAACATCGATCAGCTGCCTCCTGCACACCTCCTACTGGGGATGTGCCCGCAACCAAGGTACATGCCCTTGACCGGAATCGAACCTGGGACCTTTCAGTCCATAGGCCGACGCTCTATCCACTGAGCCAAACCGGTTAGGGCTATTCATTCTTTTTGAACACTCTCACATCTCTATATATTACAAACGAAAAACCAACCAAACAAACAAAAGAAAAAGTAAGACTCAGAGAAACAGTCCCAAGGGTATGCAAGTAACCAAGCGGCGGAGTCCGGGCTGGAGCCCAGAAGGGCTCTGCCTCCTGCACCCCAGAGCCCAGCTTGGACTGTCAACCACGTTACAAGCTCCGTCGCGGGGGGGAGGGGGGGCGCCCAGCACCACCTCACCCCAGCCTCGCGCCTACGAGGCTCCCTAGTGCAGACGGCGTTCCATCGCCCGCCACCCTCCACGGGCCATCCCGGAGGACAGGGCTCTCACCAGGGGGCAGTCGGGGGACCCTGGCAATCTTGCTTGTGATCTCTGCAGTGAGCACCGCGAAGTCCTGCTCGAAGCCTTCGAAGTCGGACGACATGGCGGCTCCGGAGCGACAGGCCAGGCCGGAGCCTAGGTCGGGGCAGGGATAGCGCGGAGCTGGGGAACACGGTATAGGAACCCTAGGACCTGCCCTCGAGACCAGAGCGGAGAACCCGAGACAGCTCCCAGCCCGGCCGCTTCCTGGTTGTCCGTCGCAATCTCAGTCCCCCGGAAACTGGGTTGGTACGCTTTTTAGTTTCCTTTCAGGCTTCAACATGAACACATGCTCCAAGGAAAAGTACTTTAATTAGTGCCTCCAGGAGGCCTCTCAAAATAGTCGTCTTCTAAGGAATCCCTGAAAGTTTTTTTAACCCCTCCACGTTGTGGAAGCGGCTCCAGCTCTCCAAGGTAGAGGTCACAGGAGCTTGCTTCCGGGGGGAAGTTCAAGGCGGCGAACTTCCCGGAAGTGGCTGTCACGGAGGCTGCGCACCGGGCCGGAGCGGGATTCCAGGGGCGAAAGCGCCGGCGGAGACCGACTCGTGGTCTCGGGTCCCGCACTCCAGCCTCTAGCAACCGGGATTTGCGTTCTGCTTGTTCTGGACCGAGGGGCCCATGCTGAAGTCACTCGAAAAGGAGAAAATGTGTTCCGGGTGAGCCCAGGCCGCTCCGGAACTGCGATGGCCGAGGAGGGGGCACCAAGGACCAGACTGAGGTGGGAGACCAGGCTGGGGATGTAACCATCATTTTGGCGGTCTCCACGCCACCGAGTTTGGCCAGAATCTCCAGTGCTTTGGGACCAGCCACTCTTCCCAGGATGTTCCTACCCCGAGTGAGGATTTCTAAGAGCTCTACTCCGTGACTCGGGCGGGAAACTGAGGCACAAGGCAGCGGCATCTGTTGCGTGGAAGTCTTTATCGCCCTACACCCCAGAGCTTCTTCCCTTGACTCACTGCGGTTCCATCAGCAATACCCGTCTCCAAAGCTTCCCGGCTCTCGCTGCGGAGGGAACTTCCTCTTCTTTTTTCCTAAAATATCCTCATTCATGTTCTTTTTTTCATGAACGCCCCCAGTCGTGATTTCACACACAGCTCTCTCTCCTCTCCTTGCATTGACCTTTGCTTTCACTCTCTCGCTTCCTTACATTTGGCCCAAGTAGACCCTGATGTTGGTGTTTTGGGGGCAACCACAGGCAACTAATGTGGACCATGCCTGGCTCATACTTGACTTAATTTGAGACCGGGTGAGAGGTGGTGTAGAGCTCCGTAAAGGGAGTCGAATGACTGGGTTAAGCTATTTCGTTTGACCTGGATCTAATCACTAGGCTCTCCAAGCCAACTTCTTTTCTCTAAGTAAGGAAACTGGATTAGCTCAACTCTAAATCCCTGCTTCCCAGCTGTAAAACCTTTGTCTCCTCAAGCCATTCACTAAACGTTGGACAATCACAGTCCCCAGACAATCACATATCCAGTTTACATGCCATTTAGATTTGAACCCTATTTTGGGTAAGATAAAAATAGATGTTTTGGTTTGTTTTTTTGACATTTGACAAGCTATCCACGGTAGTGCACTGGTGAGATGCTTTTGTTTAGGTGGTTATGGGAGTTAAGTCTAGTGTGTAATAAAATTTTTTACTGAACTTCCTCATTTTCTTTTCTTTAGATTGGGTTTCAAACCAAGATACTGGATTCTCCCAGTTCAGATAAAGAGCTCTGAGCATGTAACAGTGAAAATGGATAACCTGCATTCACAGCGCACAGACTGAAGACATGACACTTAAGGAACACACGTGGACTTGTGGCACATGGATATGTGTGCACAAAAAGAGGAAATCTGTCATTCTTTAAAGATAGGAAGACATTCTTCCTCACCAACATGGGTACTTTCTGCTCAGTTATCAAGTTTGAAAATCTCCAAGAATTAAAGAGACTGTGCCACTGGGGCCCCATTATAGCCCTCGGTGTTATAGCAATATGTTCTACGATGGCCATGATTGACTCTGTGTTGTGGTATTGGCCCTTACATACAACTGGAGGAAGCGTGAATTTCATCATGTTGATAAATTGGACGGTCATGATTCTTTATAATTACTTCAATGCCATGTTTATTGGTCCTGGCTTTGTCCCTCTGGGGTGGAAACCGGTAAGAAAAAGATCCCTTTAGAATTTAGATGATGAATTCTAATGATAACCTCATGATAATTTAGTTTTTGCTTTATCTTCTAGCCAATAATATCTAACACAGACTGCTTTTTGCTGTAGTAGGGACTAAGTGCATCGCAATTACTGGTCCTTTAAAGCTCAGATTATTTACTTCATGCCTGTTTAAAAATACTGATCTAAATCAGTATTTCCCAGAGCATTTTCATTTTATACTTGTCTTGCATTGAGAAAAAAATAAACATGGAGGGGTGGTGATGAGTCCATGGTCATAAGTTTAGGAAACAATGCATATCACATACACTTTTCTTATTTATGGTTTCACAATGTAGTTTGGTTCTATAATCTTTTTACATGTAATACATTAACATCCTCAGAACTGAGGAAAACTTGAAACTTTGGTTTAAATCATAAAGTTTTTAAATCATTGCAGTGAAGATTGGGAAGTACAGTATGAATCAATTTATGGCTCCTTAAAATTTGTTAGAAAGTTTATGCTTATGAATTTCCGTATTCCTTGTTGAGGGACATCGCTTGGTAGCTTGGTAGAAATGCAGAACTCTACTGAGTCAAAATCTGCATTTAGTGAAATCCCCAGATGATTCTAAAGTATGTTAACATTGGAGAAATACTGGTGTATTGTATTTAGTAAATAAAAAAATGGGTAAGACAATTCATATTCTGAAAAATCTTGTGTAACTGAGGAGAAAAACCAAGGCACTTTAGCAAATTTAGCAAATAAACACAGAGTAGAATATGACGAGTGCTGGCGAAGTTAAAAGGAACTGTCATTTTCAGTTGGGGACCTATGGGATTTCCAGAGGAGATGGGAAAAAGGCATTTCAGGATTTCAGGTTGAGTGCATATTCAGAAACAATAGACAGATTATGTAGAGCAGAGAAGGCTGAAAGAAAGGCAGATTATGGAAGGCCTCAAATACATGAGAAATTGTTAGTCCATAGGGAGTTCTTAGAGGTTTTCGAGCAGAGCTCTGACATAATCAGAATTGTGTTATAGGATGAATCTCCTACTCTAAATACCTGCTGAGTTGTCAGCTACCTTTTTTCCTGAACTCCTCCCATCCTACTAAGATTTTGCATAAGTAGAGCCAACTGTACTCAGTGGTAATGGACTAGGATGACGCATAGGGAAGAGAAGTTAAAAATGACTTCTGGGTAATTGGGAGAGTGATGGTGCTGTTACCAGAAATTTTATACATAAAAATATTTTAGCTCAAATAAAAGGATTGGAAGTGTAAGTTAAGATTCCATCCCTCCCCCACCCCCCATGAAAGAAAATTAAACCATAGGAAAGCATTTATTCATAAGGCTTGTTATTATTTAGGACTAGAGGCCCAATGCACAAAATTCATGCAAGAGTAGGCCTTCCTTCCCCCAGCTGCCAGCACCGGCTTCCCTCTGTCCACCGGCAGGCACCTGGGACCCGGGCTTCCCTCGAAGCCCCAGCTTCGTCCGGAAGGTCGTCCGGTCTAATTAGCATATTATGCTTTTGTTATTATAGATATTATTATAGATTGGTTATCTGATGTATTTTTTGTTTATGTTTTGCTGCCAAGGAAAATTCTCAGGATAGCATGTACCTCCAGTATTGTCAAGTCTGCCAAGCATACAAGGCACCACGGTCACATCACTGTCGAAAGTGTAACAGGTACTGTCTGTCTTTGCCATTCACTTTAGGGACTGATCACCTCGACAAGTGGTCTTTTGTTCCTTCTGCCACATCAGTCTTAATTTTATTCTCTGCAAGGTGGCTACTTTATAAACATTGTCAAAATACTTGTGTCCATATTCTCCATATTATTCTTAAATCATCAATTCTGGTAATAAATACATCTCTTTTGTTATATGTGAAAAGACTTTTCTAGGAAATACAGATTAACTTTGCTTCTTGCCCTGCCAAGAGCATGGTTGAAAGTCAAATCTGCAAATTGTTGCCATAGGTCACGAATTAACTGAATTGTTCTGAGTCTAATTATAGAGGAGAGCTGCTTTTTTTCCTTTATTTTGACTAACTTTTACACTTTATACAAATCTAATAAATAATCCAGGTGCCTATTATCGTAGTGTTTAATATAAAAAACTTAATGAGAGGAAAACTGAGTCACTATAAAAATGTGAAATAAGCTAGAACCTTTAAAAATGAACAGCTGTATCCACTTCTTAATAAGAACGTTTGATGAGAGTGTTGAGGTTTAGGGAAACTATGGAGGCAAAGAAAGTTGTCTTGACGACAGGAAATTTTCTAGCAATGAAAGGGAAGGAAGCTTGGTAAGACTTTGCTTATTATACCACATCTTATATTTAGTAGTTGCTTGTTTAACTCAGAGGTTCCACAGCTAAAGGATGAGGACAGGAAGGAAGTTACATGCGTCTGCTAGGTCCCATCAACCCCAGTGGAGATTTGTAAGTGATTTTGTTGAGTCTCTATTGTACTTCACTTCAGTCACTGCATTTCAGAGCTGGAGGAAAACCAGGAACCAGAGTCATTTCTTTATTATGAACCTCTCAGTAGGCCTCCTGACTTCTTCAAACAAATTCATAAGGAGCAGACATCTTTTCATCAGAAGCTGTTTCTAAACCTGCCCTTTCTTTCCCTGTTTAGAATCTAAAAGAAGTCACTTTCCTGAATTGTTTAAAAACTCATAAAGATGTTTCTTTTTGTTTCATGAATTGTGATTTCTTTTTGACTTATGAACATGCTGGATTCCTGTTTGCTTGGTCTGTTTTTGTCAATCCTTACTTGAGGCTCTGTTTTTATTTTAGAGACAGATGATGGGAGAGAGAGAAACATTGATGTGAGAGAGAAACATCAGTTGGTTACCTCCTTTATGTGTCCCAACCAGGGATTGAGCCTGCAACCTAGGTATGTGCTCTGACCGGGAATCGAACCCGCAACCTTTTTGGTATACGGGACGATGCTCTAACCATCTGAGCCCCTCAGCCAGGGCTGCTTGGTCTTTTGAAGACCAAAGTTATTTCAAGTCGACAGGATTTCCTGCCTCATGTTTCATGTAAATGTTTCTTGTTAGGTGTGTGCTGAAGATGGACCATCACTGTCCTTGGATCAACAACTGCTGTGGTTACCAAAATCATGCTTCATTCACACTGTTTCTCCTGTTAGCACCATTGGGTTGTATTCATGCTGCCTTCATTTTTGTTATGACGATGTATACACAGCTTTATAACCGGGTAAGTGAAATGTTATAGTCATTTGTGCCAGATTAAATGGTTTATCAAGATTATTTATGAGGTCCCTTTTGCAAATACGTTTTCTATGATTTAAGTAGGGGAACACACTTTGCTTTACCTCTAAATGGATTCCTTTTTTAAAAGCATTAAAACTTAATTTTTTCTGGATTATTTTTCTCTGGAAACTCACCTTCTTAGCTCTGGTTGAATTGATAATTATTTTATTTGGTTTGTTTGTTTATTTATTTACAGTGGAACCTAGGTTCTCAAACTTAATTCATTCCAGAAGGCTATTTGAAAACCAAATCATTTTTCCCCATTAGGAATAATATAAATTGAATTAATCCATTCCAGACCCACAAATAATTCCCTGTTTTAACCTTTCTTATATACAGTACATGACTAATATGCTATTTAATATATAAACACTTTAAAAACAAAAAGGACATGAAATAAAAATTAAAATTTAACAAAAAGGAAATGAAATGTACAGTAAAAATGAAAATTTAATAATAAGCAGCAACAAAAGCAAAAAAACACAAAAATATTCACACCATAATTTCCTGAGATGTTTGCAAGGTGAGGTTTAGTGGTAAACTGACGCATACTTTCGCATTCTCTCCTTTGTTTTTCGCCTGGGAGATGAGTTACTGACCATACAAGTATCCACACAAAAGGGTTGTCAGGTTGAGAATCGAGTTGTTTGAGATGGCAGATAATTGAAAACCAAGGTTTGACTGTATGTTGATTCTCGAGAGAAGAAGTGGGGGGAGAGAGAGAGAAACATCGATCGGTTGCTTCCTGTAGATGCCCTGACCAGGGATCGAACACCCCAACTTTTGGTGTACAGGATAATGCTCCACTCAACTGAGCCACACCAACCAGGGCTGTGTATGTAACTTAAGAAATTTCAAACTTGGTAGCTATGGTAAGAAAAATTAGGAGGGCAAAAAAAAGAACAAGAAGAAAAGACAACATGAGGGCTTTCCTTCTCCATTCCATTCAGGTTGTAGTTGTAGTTCTTTTGTTCATTTCTAATTCCAGTGCCTAGAACAGCGGTTGCCAACCTTTCAGACCTCATGGACCACCAATGGTCCGCAGACCACCGGTTGGCGACCGCTGCCCTAGAATGTGGCTCATGGAGCAGACACAGTCCTAAAATGCCCTGCAACAGATCGAGTCGATTTATGGGCAGGTAGTCATGAGATAAAGTTCAGGGGACACGAATTCAATGTCCTAAAGGGGCCTGCAAGGTAATGAGGGACACAGCCCTCATGGCACTGTGGCACACTGGGGAACATGCCTGTCACAGAGAGGACAACCCATATTCCATTTCTGCCAGCTTTTCATGTTTGAGAATCCAGCCCAGTGATGCTAGATCTTACAAGAAGAAAAAAATCTGTTTTTTTAAATGTGAAGTTTCCTGATTTTTAAATGTGGGCACCTAACTAAATATTTTGAAACATTTTTCAAGCCAGGCAATACACATCTGTAGGCCACATTTTGCCAATTTTTCACCTCTGGTTGTGGAACATGAGAGAAGAAACAGCTGAACCCCAGGCTGTCTTTTTTGCTGTGGAAGATTATTGTAAATACAGACAAGCAAAGAGGAGAGGGAGACACAGTTACAACTTAGATTAGTGTCTAAATTGGTGAACTTAGTGTTGTAAATGCAAATTAATGTTTGTGGGGTATGCCTAACACCTTTTGAGGGTGCAATGAAAAACAACCCCCAAAAAATAACATTTGAGAATAACTAAGAATGATATGGTGTATGAATGAGTCAGTATGAGTTCAAGCCACAGTGTTCATTAGAAACAACTGTGTTTGCTTTGGCCACAATTTCAAGCTACCATTTTTGATCATTTTAATCAAGTTGTTTCAATTGTTACAGTAGCCTAACCACTTAACGACAACCCAATTTATCGAACGTATGTTGTTGTTTACAGCTCTCCTTTGGGTGGAACACGGTCAAAATTGATATGAGTGCAGCCCGGAGAGATCCTCTTCCAATTATTCCGTTTGGATTAGCTGCATTTGCTGCCACCTTGTTTGCCTTGGGATTAGCTTTAGGAACAACCATAGCCGTTGGGATGTTGTTTTTTATCCAGGTAAGTTCCTCGGTTACTTCTAGCTAAAAGCTGTCGAGTTATTGGGGCTGCTTGTAATGAGGACAGCCTTGATGCATCACCCAACCCTTTTTCAACTCTTAGTGTAAAATAAGCTGATTTTGGTTATACTTCATGTTTCCATTAGCCTGTGATCAACTTCTTTGATTATTTTTTCCAATGCCTATACTTAGAAATCATGTTAAAAATAAACTAAAATTCTGTGGTGTAAAAACCTATGTAAATGGAATTAGTTATGTGTAGGAAAATCAAATAGAATTTGGACTGAATATATTCAACTTTTAAGGCAAGCAGAATACCTACGTTGACTGAAATGAGTCATGTACTTCTAATAAATAGATTAATCATATATTTAAGGTTAATTAAAACAGTGATGAGATTTTAATAGCAAAATACACTTACGTATTGATTGAATGAGTTATATCAATATTTTATTAGTACTCTGAAAACTTTATTCAGAAGATAATCCTTAAGAAACATGAATTATTATTAAAACAATATATTTAGATTTCTTATGGGTTTTATTTTAAGAGGTGCTGTAGTACAGCGGTTAAGAAAGTTTTCAAATCAGGTGACCACACACTGTGTTACTTAACCTTTATCTTGGTATCTTCATCTATGGAATGGAGCAATACACACTATCACATAGGGTTGGTTAGTATAAAGATAATAATCTTTAATGAACCAAAGTTCCAATATAAAATTTTGCTGTCTATTATTTAATTTTCAGATAAAAATAATTCTCAGAAACCAAACTTCTATTGAATCATGGATTGAAGAAAAGGTAAATTTAATACTTGTTTTCCTCAGTATCATTAAAGTACTGATTTAACTAATAGACCAGATTAACTAACAAATGCCTGGAAGTGAAAATTTGGCTACCAAATGGCTTCCTTAAGTCATTTGCATGCCACATAAAAGGTAAATATAGAAGACAGTTTGATTCATCCCCGGTTTAATGTAACTCCCAGAGAAATACGCTTCTCATACACTCTGAGAGGAGCCACACATTGAATTTGGGTGGGGGTTGATTTATACAATTCAGTAAACTCATACATTTTACAGGTTGATTATTCTTTTAATTGAATTAACATCAGTATCACCTCTAACTATAAGAAGATTTTCCTTAAAATACTGTCCCTTGATAATAAAATATTTTAAAGAATCATTTCTAGTTAGATTGACATAAGATTAACAAGTGTTTTTGCTCATGACCAATCTATAGTAATAAAAGTAATATGCTAATTAGACCAGACGACCTTCCAGACGAAGCCGGGGCTGCAAGAGAAGGGAAGCCAGTGCCAGCAGAAGGAAGGCCTACTTTTTCATGAATTTTGTGCATCGGGCCTCTAGTGCTCTTTATAAAGTGCCATGCTAAACCTAGGAATTATTTTAAAATTGGTGCTTTGCTGCTGAGTAAAAATTCAAATAAATGATGGTATTAAGTTTACAGAAAATTTATTGAAATTATCACAAACTAAAATTTATACAACAAATTTCAACTACGTTTTGTTCACTTATTGTAGGAATAATGTATCTTTATACCACTAGGTGTCAGTGGAACTTAAGAAGATTCTAAGCCAGTATTGCCTTAAGTTAAAGCTAACAACTTAAATGCCTAGAATATAATTTATACAACTCAAATATTTATGTATATGCATAAAATGTACACATAAAGGCAAATATAAGTAAGTATATATACGTGTGTAGTGGTATTAAAAACTGAAAGATGTGCTAGCTTTTAAAAATAATTTTCATAAAATGACTTCCCTGTTACACCTTTCCTGGCCATTCCCACGGGTGTCACTGCACCCCAGGATACAACCATTGCAGTCTAGTGCCCCCATGAAACAGTTCCTCCATTCTGAATAAACCCCCTGCCTCTTAAAGCTGTTTGTCTGCATCTCTGCTCTATACCTGGATTTTTTGGTCTGCTGAACCACAGGAATATTGAGAATTTCTTATATGGAATAAAATTACTAACTTTTAATATGCACTTCTGAATTTATTCCTTAATAAGCTTATGTATTCTTAAATAAGCCCCATCTGTCATTTTCTGAATGTTCTCATAGGAGGTTGGTGTTGTGTGTCAAGTTCTTCCAATGTTGTGGTAAGTTTATTTAGCTCTTCTGTGTACACTAACATCACAACAAGGAGGAAGTATTTTAAGAGTGATACGAATTAGAGGAATAAATGTTCTCAACAGCGTATTACTAAAAACCATTTAAGGCATCTGCCTTCTTCCATCTTTGTTACCCACAGGCTAAAGATCGAATTCAATATTATCAGCTAGATGAAGTCTTTGTTTTTCCTTATGACATGGGGAGTCGATGGAAGAACTTTAAGCAGGTATTTACCTGGTCAGGGGTCCCAGAAGGAGATGGACTGGAGTGGCCAGTCAGAGAAGGCTGTCACCAGTACAGCTTAACAGTGAGTGTTTTTGTTCAAATAAACTTTCCTCTTTGCCTCACCTTCTTCCCCTTAACTTTCCCTTAACTCAGATGACATTTATAGTAAAATTAATACAAAAATTTTCTCAGTATATGACAAAATGAATCTAAGTTAATAATCTAAGAACTCTTTGTATCATACCTCTCCTTTTATTTAAATCTCTCCTTAACTCTCCATATCTGTGAGAGACAGTCCTGATTCCTTAACTTGGTTTTATAATATCTGGCCTAAAACTGCCTTCCAACTACTTCCAAACAGGAGTCATCTTTACCAGTCAGCCAAGTCCACTCAATAAACAACTTACACATTCCTGCCCCCTGATTTGCCTGCTGTTTTTTCCATCTCGTGACCTCCTCTCTGTTGGAATTGATTGAGACTGGTTTCAGTCCCACCTCTTCCCTAGTCCAACCTCTGCACCCTAGACTCCTCTGGACTGGGCACTTAGTCATATACTCTTGTGTGGTAGCCCGTGAGGTCTCATACTTTTATTTAATTCTTCTACCTTCTATCTTTAATTTTACTTCACATGATTCTAGGACAGAGACTGTACTTTCTTCACTTTCCCAACAGTATCTGTGAATAAGTGGAGGAAAGTGAGTCAGTGAGGCGTAGTGATGACGTTCAGCTGAGACTCTTTTTTTGATGAATTTTGCGGGTTTCCTACTGCGTCTCTAAAGAACTGTGAATCTGTATCATCATCACTTTGGGTGCTCGCCTGGGAGCTCCTTGAGGGCAGAGAGCACATCTCCCTGATCCTGGGCCACAGGGAGTGCTCTGTAAATACACACAGAAGAAGAAGTTAGTGAGAGAATACTGAGAAGAAAGCCCTGCTTCAGCCCCTGTTCTTAGTCATGGGGCCTTCTCTCCATGCTGAAAAAACAGGTGGCCTTTAAATTGTCAGCAGTTAAGAGATGCTGGGAAATTGGGAGTTTGTCATGAACCTCTGATATCAACATTGAGATAAGAGGCTTTTTATTTTTATATCTTCCAGATAGAACAGTTGAAACAAAAAGCGGATAAAAGAGTAAGAAGTGTAAGTAATTCTTTTGCAGTGATACCAATTTCTTTTTTATTTATTTATTTTTTGGTTAGGCTCTACAGTTTTATAGTTTTTAAAATTGCCTTTGAGTAGCTGCCAACTGTTGGCTTTTATTAAATAATATTTCTTAAAATGTTTGTTGAAATTTAATGCAACTCACTTTTGTTTTCATTTAAATAGTTTGCACTGGAGGTTTGAAGGGAATTTAGTCAATTTATATTGCCAACAGGAAAATAATTTGCCTCAATATAGCTCATTGGTATGAAACCCATCTTTACAGTTATACTGGATAATATGATGGCCACTGGCCACAGGTGGCCAAGTTTAAATTAATTAAAATGAAATGAAATAAAAAATGTAGTCCCTTGGTTGCACCAGCCACATTAGAAGTGCTCAGTGGCTGCATGTGGCTGGTGGTTCCCACATTGGACACCACAGACGGGGAACATGGCCATTGCTGCAGAAAGTCCGATGGGACGGCACTCTCTAGAGTTAATTCTCAGCTGCGCGCTTGAAATGAAGGGGAAGCAAAGCCTTGAGAACTAGAAACGCCAGCTGCCTCCTCTAGGGGGACAGGGTGGGTAGCAAGCTGGGAGGGAAAGACGTGTCACCTGATATTCTGGGTCTACCTTTAACAGTTAAAATTCGAACTTTAAAAAGCGCAGCTGGCCCTGACCGGTTTGGCTCAGTGGATAGAGCGTCGGCCTGCGGACTGAAGAGTCCCGGGTTCGATTCCGGTCAAGGGCATATACCTTGGTTGCGGGCACATCCCCAGTAGGGGGTGTGCAGGAGGCAGCTGATCGATGTTTCTCTCTCATGGATGTTTCTAACTCTCTATCTCTCTCCCTTCCTCTCTGTAAAAAATCAATAAAATATATTTAAAAAGCACAGATGATGGGTAAAGGTTAAATTGTTCTTCTGATTACTGATGACAGGTTCGGTATAAAGTAATAGAAGATTACAGTGGTGCCTGCTGTCCTTTGAACAAAGGAATCAAGACGTTCTTCACGAGCCCCTGCACGGAAGAGCCTCGGATACCGCTGCAGAAAGGGGAGTTCATTTTGGCCACGAGAGGGTTACGGTGAGTGGTGGAAAGCACTGCGTTGCCTCTTTAATGACGAAATTGGCCTAAAATAGTAACTTGAATCTTTTAAATATTTCAGATACTGGTTGTATGGAGACAAAATTCTTGATGATTCCTTTATAGAAGGTATGAAAATGTAACAAGACTGCTGGCAATAATTTCAAATTTCCCAAGAATAACTTTAATAAACAATCCCATATCGCATGTATTAGGGGAACTAAAGAGAAGAGCACATCAATCACTAAGCAACAGAAGGAAGCTCTTTGTGTTATGTTAGTTCTCCATAGCACTGGGATTTATTGGGTCTTTTTAGTGACGGCTAACATTTAGGCTCATGCCTAACTGTGGGACAGGCACTTGTATGAGTGCTTCCCGTGTGGTATTGAAGTCCCCATCAGTCCTCTGCGGTCAGCATGATCACTTACACTTTATTGATGAGGGAACTGAAGCAGAGACCAAGCCATTTTCCCAAGGCCACACTGGAAACAGGTAGAGCCAAGCTCCAACCCCAAGCAGTCTGGCTCCAGAGCCCATGTGCCAAAACACGTAGGCCATGTGCTTCCCCGCCCCCCCCTTTTTTTTTAATATATGTTTTTTATTGATTTTAGAGAGAGAGGAAGGGAGAGGGATAGAGGTAGAAACATCGATTGGCTGCCTCCTGCCCCCTCCCCTACTGGAGATCAAGCCTGAAACCGGGGCCTGTGCCCTGATTGGGAATTGATCCAGTGACCTCTTGGTTCATGGGTTGACGCTCAACCACTGAGTCACACTGGCCGGGCACTCCCACTTTGAATGAACATCCCCATATATCTCCCCCACCCCCACACACAGTGCCTCTCTCACTCTAAACATTATGTACCAGAGTGGTTAACATTTGTTAACATTAATGAATCTACATTCACGCATTAAAATTGTTCCCTTTTAGAGTAAAGATTAACCTAGGATGCTCTTTTAAAAACACTGGGTTAATTGTAAATTAATCCCAAATGACAGCTTAGGCAACCTTGATAAAGACATTTCTATGTTAGAAAAAGTCTAAAAAGGAAATTCACAAAGGCTAAGGAAGATAGTTCCCTGAAATAAATTGAGTGTGACAGTTTGCCAAAAACACCCTATGATCACACATGGGTAACTACATGCCCATATTGAGAAGTGCCCCTCAACTCCACTTGGGGGCTGTTCTGAACCACATTAGCTCCTTTCCCAAATAACAGAATTGGGAAAATACCTGGTTTCTAGCTTGTTAGGAGCAAGCAGTTAAAAGCCTTATTTTTTCCCACGCAAACTGCTTATAAAAGATGATAAAGAGGGAAAAATGTAAAGTCTGACTAATAGCTTATTGATATGAAGTATAGGACTTATGGGTCTCGGTAAAGTCATTGCAGAGTATCTGACTATTTCATGTCAATTTAATTTTCTCAGGTGTTTCAAGAATCAGAGGGTGGTTCCCTAGAAACTGCGTGGAGAAGTGTCCCTGTGATGCTGAGACAGAGCAAGCCCTAGAGGGCGAGAAGAAAAACAGATAGCCACGATCAAAATCCAGTGATTCTTTAAGTCCACCCCATTACTTGAAAATTGTGCATATCACTAAAGAATTATGCAATGAGCCTACTCTGGTTAAGGTGTTCTTTTCCTCAAAGGTGCCCTAGTGCCATGATCTAAATATTGTTATGAACATTTTGAAATGGAGAAGCCATTCTGCATATGCCTTTGAATTCCTGCCCCTCTTGGCCACCTCTTCCTCGCCCCAAAAGGAAAAAACACTTCACCCCAGTAAGTCAATTGCATTTTCTCTCGGGTGTTTTACGCACTGCACACTATGGACCTCACTCGCAGATATTGTTCCCCCTTTGCCAGGAGCATCTGCATGTGATGCTTCTGTCCCGTTTCCCCCTCAGTTGGTATTTCTTATGTAATATTCTAGATACTGTAGAACTTAATTTGTCAGATTCAATATAAGCTCAGATTTTGTTACCTGTCTTTTAATAATGCTTATTTTGTCAAATCAAATAAAGATCAATGGATGTTCTCTATAAATCATAGTTTTTACTTAAAACATCTTTTTTCTTTTCGATGACTGAAAATGTTCGTCTTACTTCCTTATGGAAAAACTGCTTTACTACCCTGTCCAAAATTGGCATCTTTACATTTTTACTTTTATTACTCATCCTAACCCAAGGATATTTTTCCCATTGACTTTTAGAGAGAGGAAGTGAAGGGAGGGAGGGGATCGAGAGAGAAACATCAATTGCTTGCCTCTTGCATGTGCCCCAACCTCGGCCAGGGATTGAACCTGCAACCTGGGTACTTGCCCTTTACTAGGAATCAAACCCGTGACCCTTTGGTGCTAGGGCCCACGTTCCAACCACTGAGAATACCAGCCAGGACAAAAAAATATTGGCATCTTTAATCATGAGTCTTAAGACATACATATTTGCCTTGATAAATTAACCCCATTAATGGCCTGTTGAGATCACAGTATTCTAGGACACTTTCAACTGGGTGATATTAAACTGCTCTTGTACACTTGATTCTCAAAATCTGAAGCTTGTGCAGGTGGTAAGAATGCTGCTGGACTTGCATTCTTAAAGTCAGGTGTGTCTAAACACATGAGTGGAATGACAGAAGTCACCTATTTGAATATTAATTCTTTCCAAGGCAGGGAACTTGAGCTCTGTGGGTCAGGCTTGTAACAGTTAACAATAAGGGAAGGGCACTTGGGAATTCAGCAGTTGCTAAAACAAAACTCTGCCCCATTTTAGTGAGGGCTAGGAAGGGAGACAAGCGAAAGACATGTCAGATGGAGTCATATATGTGAAGGTGGCAGGTGGGAGGGTCTGATGGAAGTGACATTTGAAACAAATGAGAGGACAAGTCACCTGCGTCTGGGAAGTCCTGCAGTTTAGACAGAGACAAGAACTGCAGGCTGAAATGTGCCTGGCCTGTTTGAGGGAAGGGACAGCAGTCAGTGCAGGAATGAGCGAGGGTGGTATGAGGAGGTCAGGAGGTAATAGGGGCTCGACATGGCAGGACCTGTAAGGTAATTCCTGCCTTCCCTTTGGCAACTGAAGACTAGACATTTCTTCAACTTTTCTGAGCTGAGTGTAGAAAGACCAGGAACGGCCTGGGCCAGTGTGGCTCAGAGGTTGAGTGTCAACCTATGAACCAGAAGGTCACGGTTTGATTCCTGGTCAGGGCACATACCCCGGTTTGGGGTTAGATCCCTAGTGTGGGGCGTGTAGGAGGCAGCCGGGAAATGATTCTCTCTCTTCATGGATGTTTCTATCCCTCTCTTTCCCTTCCTCTCAGAAATCAATAAACATATATTTAAAAAGAAAAAAAAGAGAGAAGGACCAGGAACGTTCTTTTCACTCCAGTTAGAGGCCAGAAAGAAACATTGAAGATTAGAGTATGACAAAGATGGTAAAGAAAAAAAAGATAAATCGGGCTCGTTTGGAGTTAGGGCTCAACTGTCACTTGTTTTGTTGTTTGCAGCTATGGAGTAAGAAGGCCTGGTCCTCTCAGTGTAGTAGTAGCTGCCTTCAGTAGTTAACTTGGTTGCATTCTAGAATCACCTGTGCACCTTTCAAAAATCCCAGTGCCAAGGCTGTGTCCCAGACCATTTCAATCAGAATCCTTGGGGTAACACCAGGTGTGGAATCTTTCTAAACTCCCAGGTAATTCTGGTGTGTAGCCACATTGAGAGCCACCAGCTCACATGCATGTTAAGTCGTCCTTGCTTAAGGCTGATTCTCATCATGGTCCGTGAGGAAATGCACACCTCAACGTAAGTATCCACAATAGTTTATTATTTGAAAGATTTTACAAGTGGAAGCAACACATGTTTTTGGGGGTGAACCAGAGCAGGAGCTGGAGTTCCTGGGGGAAGAGGCCAGTGGGTCTCCTCTTAGAGAGGCCTGCTGCACAGGCCGGTCTGTGTTCCCAGTTCAGGAGGTTTTTACTCGGTGCTCTGCTTCGTCCACTGGAAAGTGCACTTGACATTGTTCCAGCTCCTTCCCCCACAGCTTCCAACTCAGCAGCAAACTGTAAGGGACAGATTCCGTCACCAGTCGTGTCCCTGTAGATAACATCTGAACATTCTTTCGGACATGTCACAGGCCCAACTTTTCATTCTCCCAAGTAAGACAGCTAGAGAGGCTTGGAAATCTTCAGTACAATCAAACACATAAGTACTTAGAAGAAATCTGTCTTTCAGATTCAGAGCCGTGGTAGGTCAAGACTTGATTGAAAATTCTAAAGGTTTTGTGGAGTAGTTAGAAAATGAATTATAAAACAGCTTTGCAGAACTTAAGCATCTCCTGAACATGGGAAAGTCTAAGTGTGGGGACTGTTGACGGTTCAGTTTTACTGAAAGAAAGTTTTACTGAAAGAGGTCACAAAAGGTCACTTACACAGGCTGGAGATCATGAGGAAGGGACAAAGACTATGAAAGGACTTTGAAGAAAGGCATGTTCATAAAAGTAGCCTGAAAACCTGAGTGTCCACAACATTTATGATGGGAAAGACAAGATTTATTTAGTCCGGAGCTAAGCTGCATTATAAGTCTCTCAATGATGTTTCTCAAAGCTCCAAAACTATAGTTATAATTTAGTAGGCAGAACAACAGACAGAAGAAAAGACAACATGAATGTAAGGCTAGTTTTTAATCCATGTTCCCACAACACAGGCTCCCTCAGAGCCCCTTCCAGCCGTCAGTACCTTAACCTATTCCTGCATGCTCTCATACAGGCTGTTGATTTGGGTCTGAAAGTACTTGGAAAGCTCTCCACGCTTTGCTTTCAATGTTGGTGTCAAGAGCCCGTTTTCAATGGAAAAGGGGTCTGGGTGGAGATAGATGCTTTTGACCTGGAAGAGAAGAAGAACATTCACACACATGCGTGCACACACATGCGCATTTATTAGTGATTTGGATTTTCCTGCAGAGCCCTCTAAGTGCTATGTGAAGGACCTTACAGAATATTTCACCTTATAAAAAAAATGGGGTTGAGCAAGTGGTAAAGAGAAAGAACAGTAACACATACCCATTCTCCCACACTTAAAATTTGGGAAAGAGATGAGTAGGGAGAAGGGGGAATGAATAATGAATAGCAAATAAGTGACTGTACAAATAATTACAAAAGGTCACTGCCATTTATTGTTGATGGGTCCATGGCATGAACTCTAAAAGCCAGTTCCTTGGACACTGTACATTTAAACCCCATTCTCAATGCAACTTTAAAACTTCCTAGAAGGACTTGAGAGACCAGGAGGACATCTGAAGTACATACCTGTTCGAAGGACTTGAGGCCACCTTCTTTCCCAACCTTCTGCAAGTCTTCTAAAATGGCTTCCTTTACGATCTAAGAATGTGAAACATGGCTTAAAGCATGGCTGTTTGGAAAGCCTACATGAAAGGTTAAGCATGAACCGACTCCAAATTCCTACAAGAGCTTGTTGGGAAATAAGCAGGATATGGGAGTACGTACAAGCGCATTTCATGCTTAATATTACTCAAAAGGGAAATCTAAATTGTAAAGGGGTTTTCTCTGAATGGCATTTTTAAATTTTCTATTTTCCCATGCCCTCCCCCATAAAGAGCATATTACTATAAAAAAGAATGGTATTTGTTACTTTTAAACTCCCCATCCTAGCCTCCAATCTAATAAAACCAGTGTTTAGCGTTCAGCCACCTGCCACAGATTCAGGAAGAACCTGTTCTTCCAGACAGAAGGCTCTGGGAACTCATGGGTGCCCAAGCTGGTGGGCCTCCCCTCTCCCACGATGGGCCCCAGGGTGGTGCATAAAGTTTTGCTACATGAGACTTACTTGGTTTTGGCACAGTTCTTCAAAGGAGCCCTTAACCCCAAGTTTGGCTGCAAATGTGGGGAGCACTTCTGAGTCAGGAACCACCACTGCTACCAAGGATGACTATGGAGAGGAAACAAGGCCGGTGAGAATTATTATACGGAAGTTTCCCAGTGGCTAACAAAGGCGGGATCATATCTTTGAAATAGACATCTCCCAAGATCTCTGACTCAGTACCAGTGTCCTACTCTTTCCTCACCAGATATCTCAAACTCTCCTGGAACTCGAATCCCATTTTCCCTTTACAAAAATGTTCTACTCAAATTTGATTGATCAAAGAGAAGTGTGGTGTTTCAACATTAAGCTTAAACCATCTCTGGCCTGTCCATATAAACCCTCCCCCACTCTCCAAAGCTAAGTTTAAGCCTAGGGTATATGACACAGTTTGTGCCAAAGGACTTCTATTCCACTTGGGTATCCTTTTAATGAATGGCTACCCTTTAAGTATAACTGTTTATCAATCCTACTGACTTGTTTACAGAATCCATCCTAGTTTCAAACTATATTGCCTTATTTTGAGATTTGGAATGTGGCTTGATTTCTTTAGTTCTACAAGCTTTTATCTTCTCATCCTAAACCCACTGAAACAGAATCCCTGTAGCCGCCGGGATCAGCATGGTCTGTCCTAGAAAGGGCTATCGTTAAAACAAAGTATTACCCGTAAGCTCTCCCCATGCACAAAAATTTGCTGCACTGGTCCACTCCTGCTGTACACGTTTTCTATCTTCTCAGGAGCGATGTATTCTCCTTGGGCCAGCTTGAAAATGTTCTTTTTACGGTCAGTGATCTTCAGAGTTCCATTCTATACGAGACAAACAGAAGACAGCGTCAGTGTTTCTGAGGCCCCTGTGGGTGGTATCTGTGGAGAAGCTGGTGATGTCCTTCTTTAAACTTGGCTTCTCTGGAGACTTTTGAGCCATCTTTCACTTCTCATTCTTGGCTTTGAGTAAAGGGTAGGTAAGAACCTGTCTGTACTGTGTGTCTCTTTGGAGGGTCAATGTGTACCCTGAGAAAAAGCCCCCAGGACCTGCTGGGGTTGTGTAAATGGTTGTCTTATCTGCCAAAGACATTTTGTAGCTATAAATATCTAATAGTTTAATGCCCGATTACTTCATTTCCAGCACTCCCAGAGGTAGGGAAGGAAGGATCTTTTATTAAGAATTTGGTGTCGT